GTATTTGTGAAATTGAGATTAGAGTGACACCTACCGCACAAATTGAAAACAAGGCACATGACAAATATCTTGTGCTCTCTTGAAGGCTGTGCTTAATGCCGTGATTCCAGACCACGTGGCAGATGCCTTCAGCCCTCCACGATCAGAGACCCCTCCCCTGCTCGACCCCGTCATCGAAGCATTATTTGGTGGCCTTAGTCACTGGGATGCAGAACATTTCCTCTTCACTGCAGAGCGTGGTTACTTATATGAACACAACTTTGCATTCTTTCTTTTGTTTCCTCTCATCCTGCGATTCCTGGCAGCCACTGTCCTGTGGCCTTGTTGTGGATTTCTCACATTGCATGGCCGGTTAATTTTAGCTGTGGTTATAGGGAATAGCGTTCTCTTTATCCTAAGTGCCGTGGCATTATACAGACTGAGTCGTTTGGTGCTGCAAGACAGAAATCTTGCCCATGTTGTGGTCTACTGTATGACACCAGCTAATGTTTTTATGGTAGCAGGTTATTCAGAGACTCTCTTTGCGGTGTTTACCTTTGCAGGCCTCTGGCTACTAGAGACAAGATTCACACTTGGAGCTTGTCTTCTGCTCGGGTTTGCTGCTGGTGCTCGTGCCAATGCTGTATCTCACTTTTCAATGGGATCTTGCCCGTGCAGGGGCTCTTAGCAAAGGAGCAGGGGGCTTTCAGTATCGTCTCTATGTCTGGGAACTTATTTGTTTTGTTCACACAGGAGCATTTTATGCAGCTTCCTTGGCACTGCCTTTTTGTTTGTTTCAGTTCTATGGCTACCAAACATTTTGTCATCCGACTGCTACTCAAGTTCCTCCTGTGCTGCTTAATCTGGTCCGGGACAAAGGATACCGTGTGGCTGGTGCAGAATCTCCAACACCAATTTGGTGCCAATGGCAAATTCCAGTTTTGTACTCATACTTACAGTATGTTTATTGGGATGTGGGCTTCCTGCGATACTTTGAGTGGAAGCAGATACCCAACTTTATCTTGGCACTGCCTGTTGCAATTCTGGGATTCATAGCCTCATATATGTACATAATGGCTAACCCAGTGTTTTGTATGTATTTTGGGGTTGGGGGACAGAGGAAAAGACAGAAAAATGCATGGTTTCTGTTACACAAGAGTCTTTGTTTACATCGTGCACAGTTCCATCCTGCTTCTAATTGGAGTATTCTGCATGCATGTGCAGGTAAGACTTTTGATCATTATCATGTAACATGTAGTATGCTTGCTCAACGTGCTTTTTAAAAAAAAAAATATTATGTCCTCTCAGGTGTTGACCCGCTTTCTTGCTTCCTCCTCACCTGTTCTCTACTGGATCAGTGCCCATCTGCTTTTTCAGTATGAGCCTCTGCTGCAAGATGAAAAAATAATTCAGACCAAATACAATGGCAAAGGGATCACAAACCTGGCTTAAGTTTTGCAGGGCTGTGGAGAAATAATCCAGTTGTTTATCTCTTGATGCACTGGCAGACTTGCTCCATTTATACACAATGCATCCTGGGCTATTTCATATCATATTGTTTTTTAGGTCTGGCTCTGCATTGTAACTTCCTTCCCTGGACTTGATAACTTTGAAGAGCTTGTTTCAGTCTTCATGACATTCCTGTGATTATAATATTATGCTGTTTGACATATTGTTGTAATGTATTTTATTATAATAAGATGTTTCTGGTATTCCTTAAAAGGCTAATATATTTTTTGTATTGAATTAGTATTTAATGAATATCCTTACTGGAACATTTGAAAAATTATTCTTGAATTTTTCTCTCTTATTCAATGACAGTTGTATTAAATGAGTGATATATTACCATCCAAGTGTTCGGGGTCAGTACTTTTTCTTTTTGAAAAAAATAAAATGTATTCAGCAAGGACATATTAAATTGATCAAAAGCAGCACAACTGTTTTTAATGTTGATAAATGTTTCATAAGCACCATCAGTGTTTTAGAATGATTTTTGAAGGATCATGAGACTGGAGACAGGAATAAATGACTTTTTAAAGTAAATTAAAATAGTTAAAACGGTTACTTTAAAATTTAATAATTTTTGATAATATTACGTTTTTTTACTTTTATCAAACAAGTACCGCATTGGTGAGCAAATTACTTGAATGAAAAACATTTGAGAAAATCTTACAGACTCCAAACTTTTATAAGGTAGTGTATGTTTTGTTTGAATTGCAGAATTATTTTTTTAAAAAATACCTGTAAAAATATGAGGCATTGAGAATTTGGTTTGCAGTAAGGCTACTGCAGTTTGTCAAATAAAAGGGGTTTACCCTAGGCACTGAATGCACATGGTCTTGTCGCAAGGCCTCTGTGATATTGTGTTATGTCACCATCTAGTGGGTTCAAAATGTCATAAGTGGTCTGTGATAGTTCCAGTGTTATTTTAGTATTATTTATGTATTATATAGTATCAATTGATATTTTGATTTAGCTTTTATTATTTTAAGTTTTTGTAATTGTTGTGTGCTTTTGTCATTTTTATTATTTTTTTAAGAAATGTCTATTTCGCTTTTTGTATTTTAGTATTATTCATTTTAGTACTTCAACTCACACTTATTTCAATCAGTTGCCAAGTTCTTCTTCTTCTTTTCCTTTCGGCTGTTCCCTTCAGGGGTCGCCACAGCGAATCATCTGCCTCTATCTAGCCCTATCCCCTTCTGCATCCTCTTCTCTCAGACCGACTACCTTCATGTCTTCCTTCACTACATCCATAAACCTCCTCTTTGGTCTTCCTCTCGCCCTCCTGCCTGGCAGCTCTAACCTCAGCATCCTTTTCCCGATATATTCACTCTCCCTCCTCTGAACATGTCCAAACCATCTCAACCTGGCCTCTCTAACTTTGTCTCCAAAACATCTCACATGTGCTGTCCCCTCTGATGTACTCATTCCTGATCCTATCCATCCTCGTCACTCCCAAAGAGAACCTCAACATCTTCAGCTCTGCTACCTCTAACTCTTCCTCCTGTCTTTTCCTCAGTGCAACTGTCTCCAAACCATACAACATCGCTGGTCTCACTACTGTCCTGTACACCTTTCCTTTCATTCTTGCTGGTACTCTTTTATCACACAACAAACCTGACACTTTTCTCCACACATTCCAACCTGCCTACACACGCTTCTTTTCCACACTCCCCATTGCTCTGGACTGTTGACCCTAAGTACTTAAAATCCTGCACCTTCTTTATCTCTTCTCCCTGTAACCTCACTGTTCCACTTGGATCCCTCTCATTC